AATTATCATCCTGAAGTTATTCACAGTCTGTGAGCAGGGAAGCTATTCTATTTTGTTCAAACCAGCAAACTCCTTGAATGAGACGTTTGCCATTGAAGGGTCACTGGGCAGGGATGAGAACCACACACTCTTTCATAAGCACTCACCTCATCATCTTAGATCCCTGAATCAGTGGCCTGGGATCCTGTCCCCACACTCTTCTGAAGAAATGTTGTCATCATCATTTTTCTAGGTTAGCACAGTGAAGATGGCTACTTGGAATAGAAGACACCTCTTCTTTTGAGGACTCCCGCTAAGTCCTTTGTCCTTCAAAGTCTTCTATGGTGGATTCAATGGCTGCCTGTGTCCTAGTGGCCACCTTGGTGCCTGGGATACCTCATACTTGGGCTACTGCTGCCCTCCTTCTTTATTCTGCCCCATTTAATTGTAACCTTTTCCTGGCACTCAACTTCTTTTGCCCTTTAAAATGGCCTCATGTGGCCATTTTAACTAAATTTCTGTTGATGAGACTAGCAGAAAGTTTTTGGGGTTGAAATAGATGCATTTTCCTGGGCAATAATACAGGGCTCTGCCCTGGAGATGGATATGGGAAGAGCTTCCCTGGAGGAGGAGAGGGAGGCTGCAGTGCTGGCAGAGGCCTTAACCCTAAATGCCAACTTGGATGAGTACCAGTTTGGCCTGCGCACAACCTTGTAGTTATTCTCTCTGAAGTTGGCAAGGCCAAGAGATAAAGAAGACCCTTTTTATCAGTTGCCTCTAAGGGAGGGTTTGGGGGTGGCAGTTGTGCTGTTTCTGCTTTGGCACAGTTTCAGAATTCCTGTGACTTTCGCTTCACTGCTCAGTTCTCTCACCCTGTTTCATAATTCACACACTCTTCTTGCCCCACATTCTTCCTTATCAGAGCTTCAGCTGCAAAGAAAACAAAACAAAAAACCTGCCCACACAAACAGAAATCCTCATCCACCTTGTATATGTTGTAGCAATGGTGGCAGACATACACACACACACACACACACACACACACACACTCACACTCACACACACACACACACACACTCACATTCTCAGTCATTCATGGTTTCTCTCAAGTTGTTTTTTCTCTTCCTTGCAACAGCAGCAGCCAACACTGTTATTAAATTAATATATCTTTGCAGCTTCTTTTATCAGTTTTAAACTAGATTAATTTGCTCCTAATTCAGGTGCCCTTAGTGATGTTCTCATAAGTAAAGCTTGCTTTATGGAGAGACTGACGTTACTTTGCTGCTTTTATTCTTATTTATGATTGGATCCAACATGTAATAGATACAGATTGTGGGGGTGGAGGTTTGAGGGGGTGTTTGGTGGAGAGAGTTAGATGGCAGTGGACTTCTATGGCTATAGGTACCTTAATTTTCTTTCTGAGATTTAGATATTTCTCCTCATTGTTTTGGTTTGAGCTTATGGCTTTAACATACTCATTTTTAAAGATCTAAATATCAGAGAAGGCATAGGGATTTTAGTATTTAATAATTAACCAAAAGTTTGGTATCTAACTAGCTGGTTCCTGGACAGTTATTTGATATTATTTATTTAGGTACTGGCGATTGAACCCAGGATGATCAACCACTAAGCTATATCTCCAGCCCTTTTTATTTTTTTGAGGCAGGGTCTCACTATGTTGCACAGGGCCTCAATAAGTTGCTGAGGCTGGCTTTGAACTTGCGATCCTCCTGCCTCAGCCTTCCAACTGTTGGGATTACAGGCTGCGCCACTGCCCCTGGCTCTTCTTTTAAAATTACACTCAGTGAACATAGTAACTGGATGGATTAAATAAATTTCTTTTAGCATTATTAATATGCATGGGAAAGTTGTAGAACTTACTGGAACTTAGTGTGTTAAATAAATATCCCTGGCCTTCTGAAGCCAAAACTAAATATATTAGTTACCCTTAACCCTTAACATTGTGGATGGAGGTGGTAATTCTGGGGTTCCCCTCTCTGATAACTGAGAAGGCCTCCATCAGATAAGACTCTGAGATCTGCAGAGGTGGCAGGTAGTGGCCCAAGTGATCACTTGTAAGGGGAATTCCCTGTCCTTCCTGGTCACTGCCTTTGCCACCCCAGGTTGCCATCTGGGAGGTTGGAATTGTGCTATAGAAAGGAATTGGGCAGGGGTGGGGGGGTTGCCTCTGGCTCATGATATTCTCCCTCCTATATCTTTCTCCCCAGCTTCCAGGTCTCCAAGATGGGGTAACAGTTGTTATCACCATACCTGGCTAATTTGGGGCTTGCCAGTTTCCAGGACCATGGTTAAAGGACTAGGATAGTGCCCTGATTCAGCCTCTAGCCAGCTGTGTGATTGGGCAGATGACAATTTCACAGAGACTCAATTGTCTTCTCCATATAGAGATAATATTCTCCCATCAGCCTGTTGGTTAAATGAAACAGCATTTGTGGGAGTCCTTAATGTAGTGCTTGGCAGTAGGTTGTATGGAGTCAACAGTCATTCTTTTAATTATTGATATGCTAATAGATGTGGAAATTTCTGCTTGTCCCCACAGTTTTTGTTATATCATGTTACAGATTTTTTTTTCTAGAAGAAAAGCCTTTGGGAGAACACATCTCCAAAGCACAGGGATTTATTTTGTTTTGTTTCAAAAAAAATTTTTTTTAAATGTTCTTGCTTGTTGTTTTAAATTTTTTTATTTTATTTATTCTAATTTGTTATATATGACATCAGATTGCAATTTGATTCATATTGCACAAATAGAGCACAATTTTTCATGTCTCTGGTTGAACACAAAGAGTCACACCATTCATGTGTTCATACATGTACTTAGGGTAATGATGTCCATCTCATTCCACCATCTTTCCTACCTCCGTGCCCCCTCCCTTCCCCTCCATTCCCTTTGACCTATCTGAAGTTTGTGTATTCCTCCATGCTCTGCCCCCCATCTCCATTATTAATCGGCATCTTTATATCAGAATTTTGGGATTGGCTTACTTCACTTTGCATTATATTCTCCAACTCCATCTATTTACCTGTAAATTCCATGATTTTATTCTCTTTTAATGCTGAGTAATATTTCCTTGTGTATATATACACATTTTCTTTATCCATTCATCTACTGAAGGGTATCTAGGTTTGGTTCCACAATTTATTTATTGTGAATTGTGCTGCTATAAACATTGATGCGGTTGTATCCCTATAGTATGCTGTTTTTAAGTCTTTTGAGTATAAACTGAGGAGTGGGATAGCTGGGTCAAATGGTGGTTCCATTCCCAGTTTTCCAAGGAATCTCCATATTGCTTTCCATATTAGCTGCACCAATTTGCAGTCCCACCAGCAATGTATGAGTGTATCTTTTTCCCCACATCCTTGCCAACACTTCTTGTTGTTTGTATTCTTAAATAGCTGCCATTCTGACTGGAGTGAGATGAAATTTTAGAGTAGTTTTGATTTGCATTTCTCTAATTGCTAAAGATATTGAACATTTTTTCATATATTTGTTGATTGATTGTATATCATCTTCTGAGAAGTGTCTGTTTAGGTCCTTGGCCCATTTATTGATTGGGTTATTTGTTTTCTTGGTGTTAAGATTTTTGAGTTCTTTACATATCCTAGAGATTAGTGCTCTATCTCTATTAGTGATAAAAACTTGCTCCCATTCTGTAGGCTCTCTATTCACTTCACTGATTGTTTCTTTTGCTGAGAAGAAGCTTTTTGGTTTGGATCCATCCCATTTATTGATTCTTGATTTTAATTCTTGCGCTATAGGAGTCTTAAGTGGGGGCCTAATCTGACATGATGGAGATTTGGGTAGCGTCTCTGGTTTGATTTGTAGGTCTTTGATCCACTTTGAGTTTTGTGCAAGGTGAGAGATAGGGGCTTAATTTCATTTTGTGGCATATGGATTTCCAGATGTCCCAGAACCATTTGTTGAAGAGGCTATCTTTTCTCCAGTGTATGTTTTTGATGCCTTTGTCTAATATAAGATAACTGTTTTTATGTGGGTTTTTCTCTGAAAACACAGGGATTTTTTTTTAAATTGTAGTTTCATATGCCCAATGTTAAATTCATCTTTTCAACAACTTTCAAGGGTATAATTTAGTGACACTTAGTACTATTACAATATTGTTCACCTGCCATAACTATCTATTTCAAGAACATTTTCATCATCCCCAAAGGAAACTCCAGTAAGCTGTCATCACACCCCCCCCACACACACCCATGTGACCACTAATCACCCTCCTGTCTCTACAGATTGCTGACTCTGGATATGTCATATAAATAGAAACATGTAATATGTGGTCTTTTGTGTCAGGCTTGTTTCATTGAGCATGGTGTTTCAAGGTTCACCTGTGTTAGAATGTGTATCCTTTCAATATCTGAATACTTTTACATTGTATGACTTTCCCAGATTTAGTTCCTCATTCATCATTTGATGTAGGTTTGGATCATTTCCACATTTGGCTATTGTGAATAACGTGGCCATGAGAAGTAGTCTACAGGTTTTTGTTTGAATTCCTCTTTTCAGGTTTTTTGGATACATACCTAGACATGGACTTGCTGGATCATATGATAATTCTATGTTTACATTTTTTAAGTAACCACCAAACTGTTTTTTGCTATAGATGTACCAATTTCTGTTCCCACCAGCAATACCTAAGAGTTCCAATTTCGCCACACCCTTCCCAACACTGGTTTTTATCTTTCTTTTTAAAATTATAGCTATCATAGTAGATGTGAAGTGATGTCTCATTGTGGCTTGGGATTTTTTATGATACTGATTTTGTATGTGTCTCAAATTTCCATATTAACCTTCTTAAGCCTGTCGTCTTACAGAACTGCATGAAGAACCACCTATACAAAATTACCAATAAGAGGAAAGTGAGAAACATTTTTCCTTGATAGCCTGTACCTAAGCATCAAGGCTTTGTCATGTGTAATATGAAGACACTTACATGATTTATTAGAGAAGACATTTAGGTCTCTGACTTCTCTCTAATTGCTTTTCTTTTGGTTTTAGGGATTTTCTCTGGGCCATCTAAAAATGCTTTTTGAGCATACTGGATAAGAGCTGACCTATCTACCTGTGTGGGACCTCCATCCGCTCAACTCCTCTGTCTTCTGATGGCATTTTGATTGCATTGAGGCCAAGTGACTGACAATGAGTGATGAAAAGAACCTTGGTGTGTCCCAGAAATTGGTCTCACCTTCAAGGAGCACAAGTAGCTGCTCCTCCAAGCAGGGAAGTCGACAGGTAAAAGTTTGACTCTTGCACATTTAAATCACCAGGAAGTTTAATGTGTTAAAATGTGTACATTTGCTTGGGAAATCCTTTTCTCAGTTTAGGAATATTTGTTTTCTTGTTCACTGTGTGAGGAGAGTAAATTCTACACAACTTGAATCATTAAGCTTGTGTGCCTAGCTGGTGGAAAGAACTCTCCTCGCTCTTTGTATTATTTTATTCAATCTTTACAACTGCCCACCAATGTAAGTATTAATATTCCCATTTGCCCCATCAGGAAGCTGACTCAGACCAGGTTACTTGCCCAGGGACACACAGCTAGTAAAGAGCACATGAAAAACCAAGGTTGTGTTGGGCCCCAGAGCCCCCACTGTATACCCTGCTAACCAAGATAAACAACAATCACTTTTCCAGTAATTTTAATATCCACCCCCCACTTCCTTCCCCTCACCAAACCTCTTATGACAGCTTGTAACCACAGACTGCCCACGATAACTCTAAGACTCATTTGATTTACTTTACTAGTGAGTTGAGGGAACCTAATCAACAGAAAAAAAAAATGGTCAAAAGGAATTAAGTAGGAGAAAGAACACACAAAAACAGAGGACTGAATAATTAACTCCTAAATAACTGTCTGGTAATTCTTATGATGTTTCTTGGTTTTCTTTCTAATAAATGTCTGCTGGCAAGATCTGCTGGTTTTCGATCAAAGGCAGCAAATGCACATTAATCATATGAGTCTTCCTCCTTCACATACATAGAGAGAGAAGAGGCTGCCAAAATGCTGGATTTACAACCTGAGGAGTCTCCAAGCCTTTTTAGTACTCTGGCTCTGTTGGCATTGCTTTTGCCCCATTGGAAATTCTGGCCTAACAATTCGCCAAGCGTGCTCACTTCCAGACTTAAAAGCTACAATTGAACAGCCTCCCACCTCAGGCACGTCCATACTTTTATGTCACATCAGCATGGGGCTTTCCATTTGAACATTGCCTGGGACAGGGGACTTGCTACCCACGAATCCCTGATTCTAAGCAAATTAGAGTTTGCTATGGACTTGACACCTGGGAGCCCTCCAAGATCTCCTTTGAGGGATTTAGAAGGGCATTTTGTTAAATTTGTCTGTGTTTGAAAAAAAGACTAAATTTAGTCACTGGCTAATGCCCCAGGGCTCTCTGGAGTTCAATTTTCATGAAGCTAACTATGCTTATCTGCTTCGCCAACTTCCACAGGGTTTTTCTCTCCCTGAGCCAAAATTCTGGTTGGGATTAGAGCAGAATGTGTGATTTCCCTTATCCACCCCATTCCCTTTACTCCTAGTAGCATCTATTGTGTCCTTTGATAAAGGGAGAGAACATGATTCATTGAAGTAGCAGGTGCTGATAACGCCAGAGGAGTTGGAGCCCTTCCATGACATTCTCAGGCTCGATACTACTGGAACTTTTTTCAGTGTATTTGAAAGCAATTTGGTTTTCATATTTCTTTCGTTTTTTTTTTTGAGGTTATATCATAAAGGGTAAAAAATATATCACAAAGGGTAAAAAGAGGTATGCTTGATGACTCAACTTTTTTCTGATTTTGAAGGTTTGGTCAATGATTCATCCAATGGTCATCTTCTATATTTAAGATCTCCCACTTTAATATGAGTGTGATATTGCAATATAAATGTAAACACTTATATTTCGTGTGTGGCAGAGAAGGTAGAGAATTTAATGTTTAATTCCTCTTTAGTCTGAATTTAGTTATAATGCTCATGTTTGATTTTTAGGAGCCATTTACTTGGGCCATCTGCTGTCCTAGCCTCTGTTAATGAAGAGTGTTCTGGCCCAGGAGAGACTTGAGTTTTCCCCTACATGGGCACCTTGGCAGACCATGTCAATTCCACCTAGGGCTGAGTCGAGATTCTGATTGTCCTTCAGCCTGTCACAGGGTACAGGGACCTCACAAGTTCTCACTACCACTCTGAGTGAACGCAGCCGGAGCTGGTGGTCTTTTGGTTGTTAAATATGGTGATGACACTGTGTTTCCAGCCACGTCACTGGAAAGTACAAGTTATATGTGTAAAAGTTCAAAATTTCCATAGTAAGAAATTTAATTTGAGGAATGTTAAAACATAGCTGAATATTATCTGTACAACTTCCTCCTAGGTTTTAAAACGCCAGTGTAAAGTCATTTCCAGGGTGCTCTTTTCCTTTCGGCTGAAGGGGATTCGTCTGATGTTGATTTTTATTGGCCGTGGTTTGTGGTGTTAGTTTTTCTTATGTGCTTTGGAATTACTGTGAGAGCCTTATCTTATGTTTGTTTCCTATGGATTCTTTCAATGCACTCACCCTGACCCATTTAGGGATTTGATGTTGCCTGTATCCTACCTGCAAGAATCCTGGTCCAGAACCCAGTCTTATGCTTGCAGCCAGGGCTTGTTCTTCCACGGTGGTGATGGACTATTCAAGGTCAAACACCAGGCCAGTAGTCAGCGTGGCCCAGGTCTGGTTGAGAGACTGTCTGCCTCCTCCCACCTCCCTGGGCAAGCAGAGTTTTAAAGCCCCCTTTCACTGTGGTGAGGGGCTTCCCTCTTCACTGAATTCTGGTGGTGAGTCTGAACCTTTTCCTGGGGACATTTTTAGCCCTGTTGGTCCACAGAAATAAGCTATCGAATACCCCTGCCTACTACATTTCTATTTGTTTTCTACTTCATGGAGATGTTTAAACTATTTTGTCATGATCTTTTCCTTCCAGCTTTATTAAAGTATAATTGACAAATAAAAATTGTGTATATTTACAGTGTATGCATGTTGTTTTGATATGTGTATAACTTGTGAAATGACAACATAGTCCAGCTAATTAATGTATCCATCACCTCACATAGTTTTATTTGTGTGTGTCTGAGGTAAGGACGTTGAAGATCTACTCTCATAGCAAATTTCAAATACAGTTAGTATCCACAGGAGTACTGATTCCAAAACCCCACAGATACCAAAATCTGAGGCTGCTCAAGCCCCTGGTATAAAATGGCATAATATTTGCTTATAGCTTGAGCACATCTTCTTGGGTACTTTAAATCATCTCTAATTACTTATAATATCTAGTGTGATATAAGTTCTGTATAAACAGTTGCTAGGCTGTATTGTTTAGGGAATTTTTCTTTTCAAATATTTTCAGTCTGTCGTTTGTTGAAGCCAGAGATGCAGAATCTGCAGGGATAAGTGCATAGAACACAGTGTTATTATCTACAGGAACTGTGATGTAGAGTAAATCTCCAGAATTTATTCTTGCTGTTTAACTGGAACTTTGAACCTTTTGGCCGTCTCCCCATTTTTCCAGCCCCTGGTTCCTGGGAACATCACCCTACTGTCTGACTCTCTGAGTTCATCTTGTTTAAATTCCACATTATAAGTGAGATCTTGCAGTATTTGTTTTTCTGTACCTGGCTTATTTCTCTTCAGATAATGTTCCCCAAGTTCATCCATGTTGTCACAAATGACAAGATTTCCTTCTTTTTTAAGGCTCAGTAATATACTCTATGTGATTGTGTGTGTGGGTACAAATCACATTTTCTTTGAAGATATGTAGTCTAGTTTTTTATCATACAAACATGGAAGATTCCCAGGTGCTTGTAACTTTATATATATTTTTATTGTGTTTGGAATGGAGGTGGAAGTTAAGAAGGTACACTACATGCCCAAACTTAAAACATCATGTGCATGAAAGATTTCTCTTTTTAAATATTTTTTCTTAAATTCTCACCCAGCACAGCCAGGTAATGATCAGGGTTAGCCAAACTTTCCCTTGTCCTTTCTTTTCTGGAATTGAACTTGAACTTGTCCTTTGTACCTACCCCAGATCTTTTCACATATAACGTAAAGGTGCTATGCATTTTTGTATGGCTACTGTGCTATCCATATATCTATGTTAAAGGATCTTGCTTCTTGAAGGAGAAAAAGAACTAAATGAAATTACCTAGGCTAGCAGAGGAGACATTCAGTAGTTGTGGGTTAAGTTAATGAATGAATCAGCATGCAGTTGCTAGGTAGAAAGATTACTATTCATGAAGCTTTGTAGATATAGGAAGTGGGTTTTGGGAAACCTAAGTGGGAAGAATTGCTATTTAAGGACCTATACAATGTGAGTAATTCCAGTTTCCTTTTGTCTCTTTCCCCCTGCCTCCTTACATTTCCTTCCTAGAACTTTTCAAAGTAACACATTTCAGAAGCTCCATAAAGATGAACAAATATGGTTAGTCTATATTGAAAGAGTTCTAGAGCCCTGGGCTTTATTTCTTCAACTATTATCTGGATAGAACCCATTAAAAGGCCCTGAGCAGGAAGATGTGAAGTTATAAAGGGCAGGGCAGCTGCACAAATCTTTACAAATAAGAAATCAGCTTTGATTTCAAAGACTGTGGGTTGTAAAGAGAGCACCATTCTTTTTATGTTTTGTTAGCATTTGGCATGAAAATCAGAAACCAGCAAGTAAATCCTGCCAACATAGTTGACAGCTGCTTCACTTACCATTTCAGGGGATTTGCTAGGTAAGTCTCTGTACAGTTCTGTAGTTCGCTCTTGTCACCCTGCTTTCCCTAGGCTAATTGAAGGTTGCATTTGAGCTCTCCCTGGGTCACCTGATGGAAATTTACTTATGCAGGCAATTAAATTATGCTGCACTCTGGTAGAGCATACCCAGTCCAGGCTCAGTGCCAGAATCCATAAGGCAGGTGAGTCGAAACGGGGAGAATTTGCCAAGTTTTGAAAAGTGCATTAAAGCTGTAATGTTCAGGTGTTTATATTTTCAGCTGTCAATTGAAAAATGCTTAGTCCCATTGATTTCCTTTTAGTTCATCATGTCTTTGGAAATACTGAAATTTACCATCTTTCTTTTGTTAAGTATGAACTGAATCACTGTCACTTTGTCCTAATATGGTGTCTAAATTCATTGACTGTTGCTATAACAAAATTCCTGAGACTGGGTGATTTATTTAATTATTAATTTATTTTGGCTAGGAGCATGGTGCTCATCTT